AGCGAATATCTGCCTATAGTGATCTTAGAATTAATAGATCGTGTTTCTTAAATTTACACGTCTTACACCGAATCACGACTGGTAAAGGATCATTAATAAAACCGTAAACAGCAAAGAAAGTTCGAAAAGAATCTCGCACATAGACTCTCAAATCCATCAACGTTAACTAAAGTTGTTCGCGGTGTTCGAAAGTGGTAGCAAACGAACCCCGATACAAATGCACCGGATTGTGCAACGACACTCGATGCTTGATTGTTGCAGCCTGCTGCAGTTAAGGTGTCCCCGTTTCTTCTGTCACATTCCAGCATTTGGCAAAAGCACAGAGACGAATCCCAGCCGCAATCCTCACGAATCTCCGAAACAATGCGCCGCATAATGATGCGCTTTTTCTCGAAAAATAGAAAGTAGAGAAATATCGCGATGGTTTCCGAATGACGATCGCTCAACCGTACACTTCAACCACTATTCTTCTACCATTTGCATGGTACACCGTTACACAGTAAACAGCCCGCATAGGGTCAAGATTCGCATCGTGTGCAGAGCTCACCTGTTCGACTCTCGTTTCGCGTTGCACGAATTTCTGACCGACAAACCAGTTACCGTACGAACTACGGAAGTGTGAAACTAGCTCGGCTGAGAAGTACCGCTTCTTTGAGAATTTACTTTGAAATCGCCTTTTTTTGAAAATAATTTTTTGGTTAATATGAATAATATACAGAAAATTTTGTCAATTCTCGTTGAAATCGAGAAAAAGCTACGAGGTGAATCGCTCAAACCAAGTTTACCTGATGGAATATTAAATAAAATTCAATTGTCCATCGACTGACGTAGGATTCTTTTTTTGTTTAATTGAATAATAAAAATAATACTGTATTATCACTATTACATCGTTACTGTTTAATTGAATAATTAAAATAATACTGTACTGTCATTATTATATCATGTTTCGATAAAGAACGTGTTAGAGCCACAAATAATTACGATGTAAGATAAATATATTTAAATAATTCGCATTCTGGATTAGTCATGTGACGCAAATGGGAAACCTCATGCCATGAAAGTTCCGCTTTTTAAAGAACACTCTAGGGACGTGTAGATAAGAGATCTAGCACGCAACCATGAAACCTAGATTGTGCATCATGCACAGAGCTTAAAAGAGTATTAACTACTTAAAGCATTTATCTGAAAAGTAGATTTTCAAAAATGGCTTCTATAATATCTCTAAAATGTTTTGCATAATGTTTTACACGTACCTATTTTTATTTATCCTCCGTATCAGAATTATAAAAATATCTATCACGTTCTCTTTGGAATAACAGATTAAGGTTGAACAATTTCTTGATAAATTAAAGCTTCCTCAAAAGACAACCCTATAGATTCTGAATTTTTTTTGTTTCACATCAACAGAAAGGGAAGCCATATAAAAAGGTTACAGCATACGTCTCATCCCTCTAACTTCGTTAATATTGATTTCTTTCCACCCACTAATTTATAAATATTCGTTAACAATAGAACGACCGGCCGCCGGGTTAGAAATGAGAAACTTTGCAAAAAAAAAGTGAATGTTCGATACTGGTAAAAATAATCGTTTGTAACATTCCAATTTTATTTTCTCCATGTTTACTTCTATTTGCATCGACACGAGACAGATTTTTCAATCACGTTTTAAATTACATAAAAATTCACTTTTGGAATATTGCTAATGGATCATTTCTGGTCCGACCAGTCGTTCTAGCGTTAAAAACGAATAATTATATTGGGAAAAAAGTGTAGATAAATATATTTGATATTTTCATTGAAAAGAAGAAAAAAAAAAACTGGGTTTCTTTCAACCCTGTTTCGAACAAATAACCCTTTAAGCAGCTTTTTGTTCGCTGACAGCGGCGTTACTTCATCCACGCTTTCGCGTGTGAATCACTACAGGACAGGATAGCCATTATTACTTGTGTGCCACGGTGCACCCAATAAATCATCGGTTAATACGAACTTATGACGTACGTGGCTTAGTACGCTACGCGCAAATTGGTATAATAGACTTTCTAGTGTGTGAAAGTAAATCGAGAAGTAAATTAAGCGGGGTCCAGAGTAGAACGATTTTTTAATTTAAAGCAACATTTTGCAACAATTTGAAAGTAACCGTATTAAAGTTAAACATATATGTTACTTTAACTATTTGAGATGTGAATAAAAAATCTTGAAGAATTCGTTCTATTAAATAATAATAAAGAATTGAAAATCACTGACCTCGATATAGAATGTTTTTTATTTTCAATTTCGAATAATCAATTATTCCAATTCTATCGACAATATGTTCACCGAGTTAGTAATGTTTTTCTTCAATGAACAAAGAAAGAGATAACATTGAGGTTAGGTTTCGTTTATTATTTGCATAAATTCGTAATTCAGTCTCCCACGTAAAACGATTCAATACAGAAGGAGAACATTAAAAACACTCGGTTGGTGTACACGCTTTGGTGGTGCGACGATTTCAAGGAATTAATGCACGTCGTACCGCTTCGTCGTTCCCACTCATGAATAAAGAAATATCTCGACGGTACTCCACCCATAAAACACACGGTTATTTTGAATTCGTTCTCCCGCACACGTCGTGTGTCCAAACACGTGTTCATATATGTGCACGGTTTCGCTCGATAATATAACAATCTTTATCTATCGTGTAACGTGGCGAAAAATTGTTTGATTTTGAAAGCGAAGCGGTGAACACGGAAATAACAGAATATTTCTTGAATCTTTTCTATCTCTAATATTCCTTGCTTTTTATTAACAATTATTCTTTTCTTACTTCTAACATCGTGTGTTGTGATCTTAATTTTCTCAAAAATTTCACAATTTATAAAAGTTCTATTATTACCTCTTCTTAGAGAATGCATACTGATTAATATGCTGATCAATTT